AAGGGGTTACGACGAGACAGTAGCTAGTGGACGACGATAACGGAGTCCTTTGTTAATATCTCTCAGTTGTGTTGTTGAGTGCGGCCATGACACTATTGGCGTGAGGAGGTGCTATACTGTTCCTAACACTACTGCTGGGGGAGGTGCTACTGCTCTTAACACTACTGATGGGGGAGGTGCTACTGCTCTTAACACTACTGCTGGGGAAGGTGCTACTGCTCTTAACACTACTGCTGGGGGAGGTGCTACTGCTCTTAACACTACTGATGCGGGAGGTGCTACTGCTCTTAACACTACTGTGGGGGTGCTTTAACACTACTGTTGGGGAGGTGCTAATGTCCTGCTTATACTGCTGGGGAAGGTGCTATTGCCCTACTTACTGCTGAATAAGGTACTATACTGCTACTGCTCTACTTACTGCTCGGGTAAGTGCAACTGCTTCTGCCATACCTACTGAGCAAATTCCGATTTTAGCAGGAATGAACCACTGAACAATGCCATATTCTAGGAGGAACGATCTGAACACTGCCAGATTTTAGCAGGAACGATCTGAACACTGCCAGATTTTAGCAGGAATGATCTGAACACTGCCAGATTTTAGCAGGAATGATCTGAACACTGCCAGATTTTAGCAGGAATGATCTGAACACTGCCAGATTTTAGCAGGAATGATCTGAACACTGCCAGATTTTAGCAATGATTTCATTCAATCATTCATTCCTCCAAACTTCATACATAATTCAGTGATAATTGTCCTTTGAAATCCGCCTCCTAATTTATATAAATTTATTTGGTAGAAACGTTTTTAAACTCTTGATTATTCAGTAACAAAAGTCTAAATTCTCGCGATTACACCAAAGAAACAATTTAATTATTTTATAGCAACGTTTTGAATCCCCTCCTCCCCCCCCAAAAATAAAAAATGTGGTACAAACGTTTCAAACTGTTTTTATTCAGAAAGACAGTCATAGAGTAATTACATATAGCGTCGTTTACTGTAATAATTATTTACTAAACTATTATGTAGTTATGTAATTACCGTAATTCTTTTTATTTGTCATTATTACACTCTATTACAATATGCATGATGGCTGTGTTATTTTTTAATATTGTTTACATAAAAAAAAGTAGGATCACATGAAGATTAGACACCCCAGTCTATTTCACCTGGTTAAATGTTCTAATGCTATAGGCTTGGATGGAGGTTAGGTTAGGTTAGGTTAGGTAAGGTTAGGAGTAAGGGGGCCAAGGTTTGCCTAAATCTGGCACTCGAGAGAAGATAGTTTCAACAAGTTCAGCTGGAGAGGGGTGGGGGTCGTTGAGGCTGTGTGTGTGGGGGGGAGGTAGGAAGAGTGTAGTACAGCACTAGATAACACAGATGGGATTCTCAGCACAGAGTAAAATCAAACATACAAGTACTCCTTCCCCAACACCCCCACACACGCCACCACACACACCCCACACACACCACCAACACCCCCACACACGCCACCCCACACCACCCCCACACACGCCACCCCACACACCACCCCCACCACCCACACACCACCCCCACACACCACCCCCACACACCACCCCCCACCACCCCCACACACCACCCCCACACACCACCCCCACACCACCCCCCACCACCCCCACAACCCCCACACACCACCAACACCTCCACACACGCCACCAACACCCTCCACACACACCAACACTTCCACACACCAACCCCACATCCCAACCCCCACACACCCCAGCCCCACACACCAACCTCCCCACACACCAGCCTCCCCACCCACCAACCCCCCACACACCACTCCCCACCACCCCCACACACACACACCAACCTCCCCACACCACACCCCACACCACCCCCACACACACACCACCCACACACACATCACCCACCACACACACACACCACCCACCACACACACACACCACCCCACACACACACCACCACACACCACCACCCAACACACCTCCACCATAATGGCTGCTAACCACAACATTTCCTGCCTTCAGTCATATTTATTACAATGTTAATATGATCATGGCTGAGGGTCATTCTAACACACACTGACAGCATTAACAATTAACCCGTCAGACAGTGAAAATAATGACGAGCAAAAAATACGAGAGCTGTTGGTGGTGTGTGGGGTGTGGCGTTTTTGTTGTGTGTAGGGGTGTTGGGCAGTGTGGGTGGGGTGTGTGGTGTGAGTGGGGTGTTAGTGTGGGTGGGGTGTTGGTGTGGGGTGTGGTGGTGGTGTTGGTTGTTGGTGTGTGTTGGTGTGGTGTGGGTGGGGGTGTTGGGTGTGTGTTGGTGGGTGGGGTATTGTGGGGTGTTGTTGGGTGGGGTGGTGGGTGGGTGGTGTTGGGGTTTTGGGTGTGGGTGGGCGTTGGTGGTGTTGGTGTGTGGGGTGTTAGTGTGTGGGTGGTGGTGGTTTTGTGTTGTTGGGGTGGTGGGTGGGGTGTTTGGGTGGGTTGGTGTTGGTGTGTGGGGTTTGAGTGTGGGTGGGGTTGTGTTGGTGTGGGTGGTGTTTGGTGGTGGGGTGGTTGGGTGGGGTGTTGGTGTGGGTGGGGTGTGTGTGGGTGGGGTGTTGGTGTGGGTGGGGTTTTGGTGTGGGTGGGGTGTTGGTGGGGTGGTGTTGTTGGTGGGTGTTTGGGTGTGTGTGGGTGTTGGGTGTGTGTGTGTGGGTGTGGGTGTGTGGGTGTTGGGTGTGTCTGGGTGTGTTAGTTAGAATGATAATTGGGAATGGGGAGTTAATTGTGTAGGGGGTGGAGGGGTGGGATGGGTGGAGTGGATGGGTGGGTGGAGGGAGGTGTTTATATGAGGAGAAATTACATGTGGGTGAAGTGGAGGGTGGGATAGTGTCCGAGGGCAGTGGATAGTAATTGTTTGTGTGTGTTTAGGTTAGGTTAGTTGAGAAGAAATTACAATTGGTTAGATGAGGTTAGATTAGGTCAGGTCAGGTCAGGTATAAGTGATTACAGGTACACAAATACTACAATATACAGTAGACAAACTCACTCGTAGCGGAACCAGGCGATGCTCGTAGGGCAGGATGTTGAGTAATAGAATTAACTGTGTTGGTATACTGGCGATAAGTTTAGGACTGTATCCGGTATGGCCACAGGGAGAGAGAGAGAGAGAGAGAGAGAGAGAGAGAGAGAGAGAGAGAGAGAGAGAGAGAGAGAGAGAGAGAGAGTGTGTGAGTTTTGAGTTTTGAGTTTGAGAGTTTGGGGTTTGGGTGTTTGGTTTGTGGTTGTTGGTGGTTATTGGTTGTTAGTGGGTGATGGTTGTGGGGTCTTCACTACTCTCCCTCACTCCCTCCCTTCATCCATCCACCCTTCCCTCTCCTTCACCTCCTTCCTCTTTCCCTTCTTTTATCCCCCCCTCTCTCTCTCTCTCTCAATATGCGTCAATTGTCTCACTGAAAACCTGTTATGAAGCACATGCTGTAGAGAAGAGGGTGAGATGGTGGGGGTGTGGGGGGATCTTTGTTGGTCTTTAGTAGCTGGTGGGGTCTTTCTTGGTCCCTTACAGCAGGAGTCTTTGCCGGGTGAGGAAGAGGGTGGTGACGTGGTCTTTCTGTTCACTAATACCAGGAGTTTTTCTTGCTTACTGATAGCAGGGAGTTTTTCTTATCTACTAATAGGATGAGTCTTTGCCGGGTGAGAAAGAGGGTGTGATACGGTCTTTCTGTTCACTAATAGCAGGAGTCTTTCTTACTGACTAATGGCAGGGAGTCTTTCTTGTTCACTAATGGTAGGAATCTTCGCCGGGTTGAGGAAGAGGGGTGGTAGCAGACCTCGGGGTAGGTAGGTGGGAGGGTTATGTCGAAGAAGGAGGCATGAAAAGGAGGAGGAGGAAGGAGGAGGAGGAGGAGGGAGGGAATGAGTGTCGGGGGGGCACGTGGCAGTGACGGGCCTACCAGAACAAGGGGACAGTAACTCTCACTTGTCCTCGTCGTCTTCTGAGAGGCCAACTTGCTCATCTCCTCTTCCACCTCCTCTTCCATCTCCTCTTCCCCTTCCTTCTCCTCCTTTTAGCATCTTCCTTCCTGTTCTCATCTCTCTCCTTCTCTTCCTCATCTCCCGTCCCTCTCCCCTCCCCTTCCTCCGCCCTCAGCTGGCGTTATTTACACCACAACAAACAGGCGAGGAAACTTTCAGCGACGGGTGCCAGTACAGAACAGGAGGCGTCGCGCTGATGTTAGGTTTCACTTAACTCAAATTGGCTCGGTACTGAAGGGCGGCACCTTGCTACAGCGCCTCCGTCATCCCACACGTGTTGGTATCAGCAATTAACGCCCTCTCGTGGTGTTAGTCATCCCAAGTGCTTGTTCAAATATGCATAATGAAAGAGTGGAGGACGGATCCAACAAGTGACTACCATTATTTAATACGTACTGCCGTCATAGGAGCAAGCTAACCCCTTATTTTCACGTCCAAACCGCGGTCCAGGCATTTCTGCAGTTGTAAAGAAGCGTAGTGTACGAGGTGTCCGGTAGATGGCAGTGGTTGGGGTTGGTGGGCGTGGTGGGCGGGACTGGTGATTCAAGGGGCGGGGCAGCCGTCACTCGGGGCTCCTCCGCTGCCACGATTGGCATGTGCCACCCTCGCCGCGCACTGAGGCGGAGCTTACCGCCCCACGCCCCGCCCTCACCAGCCCGCTCAGCTGCTGAGTGATAACTTGTACGAGATCAGTGTAAGTTGAGTACTTGGTCTGTCGTGAGGCAGTTGTTTGGCCCTAAGTATGGTGATTGTTTGGTCTACCTGGTAATCAGACCTGTAACCACTGTAATCAAGGCGCAGTGGACTATCATTAGAGTGACCTCTCCAGTCATATTGTGACCCCTTGTGACCTAATCTTGCGATTGGTGATTTGCTTGACCATCCTGCATCAATGATGCTCACCGATCTTAATATTGCCAATCGGACGGACATTTACACGACGGAGAAAGGAGGCCTTGTAAGTATGACAGTGTAGGTGTTTGGTCAGTGTCCCCTGTCCGTGGGCCCGGGTGTTGTGGGCCGTCGTGTGGTTACTGGCGTCCCAAGACCCACAGCAATATTGCCGCGGGTTACCCCCTCACTAGCCACCACAAGCGGAGAACTTGCTGCCGCCCAAATTACTACCTTGGCTCCCAGATTGCAATTATAGTTACGGTGGGGATATCATATCGGCGGTGAGGGTCGAGGCTTAGTCTAGCGGCGGCTGGGCGAGTGTAGGAGGTGTTGTGTTGGCAGCAGGTCCATCACTACCACCTGCAGTAGAGCACACCATCTGGCGTACCAGCTGAGACTCGGGCACGAACCACCTGCCCCTTCCACCTGGGCGTCAGCACTAGTATGGTCCCGCGCGAGGCTGCGTCAGCGTCGGCCGGGGTGTACTGAACACGTTGCCGGCGGCGGGCCGGCCTGCGAGGGTGGCAGCGTCGCGTCAGGATGGTGGGGAGCAGTTGTTGCGTGTGCAGGGTGCAGGTGCTGGTGGCGGTGGCCCTCCTCAGTGTCACAGTTGCCTTGTGGTGGTGATCGCCGGTGTGGTAGTGGTGGTGATGAGGCTCTGGCTACCGTCGTGCCGGGCCTGCGCCGACAAACGGTGACCCTGTGTTGGTTTATAACTGCCAAGGACTTATCCAATTCTTAACTACTTTTGCAACACTTAGACGATGCCTTGCGACATTTTTTATAACCTGGCTTTACATGTACAGGAAATTAATTGGTGATTTTTGCCGAATTTGGAGAATAATTGGAGGATGTTTATAGAAAGTGCAGTGAACAAAAGTTGCGCTCTGTGATAGTGATAATTTTTGGTGGTGATTTTCAACAGTCTTGTCTTTGACCAAGGTGTGAGCAGATGTGTGGAGGAACATACCTGATATAACGTGTGTGACGGCGGCTCCTTGAGGGACACTCATATACTTCAGGCACTTGTTTTTACCTCGTCTGGCCAAGATGGATCGAAAGACCCTGGTAGGTTGATCTCTCTAGTGGTCTTGTAAAACATTTTCATCGGAGGGAAACACACCTTTCCCTCTCGCTTATTTTTTCCTTGCTTTTTGTTTTTGTTTACATATGCATTTACCCTTTTTTTTTACTCGTTTACAGTCAACTCGTATTTACAGCGAATTATCATCGTCTTGGAGGAAGTTCAAGTGATTGACGTTTTATCTTGACGGCAGTGACAACACTTCACTTTACAAACACTGCTGCCCACCCCTACCACAACTAACCCACCATCAATACCCTCACTTTACACACACACACTGATGCCCACCACCATCACAACTAACCCACCACAACTACTGCCCCACCACCACCACAACTACTGCCCCACCACCACCACCACCACCATCCTCCTTCTCACTCAACGTGGCTCATCACCTGATTGTTATGGCTTACGACGGACAATAACACACAGGTGGCTCTTAGTGTCTCCTCCCTCAACACCCGTACCTCTACACACCTGTGATTTGCGGCTTCATACCTTTTTTTAACATAAAGGGATTTTATAAAACTTTGTGTCAGTGGGTTTGTGGGTTTTTCATTCTTTAAGGTAATTTGTAAATTTGAATATAGTAATTAACATCTGTCATTTTGTGAATGGGTTTCCTGGTCAATTTAGGTTCTCGTTATCTGTTCATTAACCTGTAATTTTAAGGGTTTTAGTATTTTGTTAAAGACTTGGGTTAAATTTTGTCACGAGAGGGATTTGAGAATTGACCTTATCCGTAAGTCAATAGTGATTTTGTGGTTATTTCTTATTTTTTTATTGGGATCTTAGGATTATATTTTTGACGCTAAGGGAAGGGTTAGAGTCAGTCGTAGTCTTCAGGTCGTAATTTGGTGCTTGTAGTCGTCCAGGTACGACTTAGTGCACTCCGATGTAGTTTTTGAACGCTCGATTTTAGTTTTTAAGCTCCCGACTATATTTTTAAACATCCGACTTTATTTTTAAAATCCCCTACTGACGCTTTGAGGTCCCGACTTCATATCTAGACATTCTAATTCATGAGTAAAAATCCGACATCTTAAAAACACCCCGACTTTATTATTCATTACCTAAACCTCATTTTGAACACCCGACCAGACTTTTCCGCATCCGACTTAATTTCCGAACATCCAATTTTTTTTTTTTTGAACACTAACATTATAGCTGAACACCCGACTCCTTAAATGTGAAAACCCGACAAATTTTACGTTACCTAATTTATTTAACGAACACCCGACTTTCTTTCACTCTAACCGACTTCGATTCGCTTTTATTAGATACGCTTTTGTTATTGACGAGGAAAGATTGTGTTTCTTGATAGTCCGATTAGCTTGACCGTCCGATTAGCTTGACCGTCCGATTAGCTTGACCTTCCGATTAGCTTGACCGTCTGACTTAGTAAATAAAATTAATATAGATAATACTTCCCAGTGTTAAGATCACAAGTGAGGAATATTTACCGATATTTACATTTTAACTAATATTACACACACGAGGAATATCTCACTAATATTAACTTTGAGATTAAGAAGAGAGGAATATTATTGATACTTATCGCAGAATTAAGGGAGAACATTTTATCAAGATTCAAAAACACCTGAGGAATTTTAGTAGTATATTTAACCCCCTGTGTATGGTGTCGCCTCTGAGCTGAATAAAATTATCTATCGTTAACTGACATAAAATATTAACAGTAGCGTCCCCATAGTGAAGATATTAGACGATAGTTAAAATATTCCTAATATTTCTCTTATAAACCAAAACCAAAGTTAAAAAAAAAAATACTTATAAAACTTTATTTCTCTGATTTAATCCCATCTATTAAACCAACGATTACCTTTATTTAGAGGCTTGTTGAAGTAGCTTTAACTGCTCCTAATGCTCGATTTTTCTTTATTACGAGATACCATTCACTATACACATAACCATATTAGTGATAAATGTTCAATAAATGATATATATTTATTTATTTTTTGTTGGTTTAATGTAATTATTCGTCTGTGTGTGTGCAAGTCATATAAGTCCATTTCTGCGTATGCTATTTCTTAATGATTGCGTAGGTAAAGGTGTGTAGTGCGTATAAATGATTCTGTAATTCTCCCGTCACTTGCGCAGGTGTGTGTGTGTGTGTATGTGTGAAACTGTGGTATGTGTGTGATTGTTTGTGTGTGTATGTATAATTATATGTATGTATGTATGTCCATATATACAAGCCGGAATATACATAGTTGTTTTATCTACAAATACAACAAAATAAACTCATTGAAAATTTTCGTTTAAGTAAAATAAAAAAAATTAAATAAAATCACTGGTTGGATTTTTTCAGTTGTAAATAAATAATAAAAAAAAAAAAACTACGATAGAAATAAACTTTTAATTATTTCCTAAGCTTTTTTCTTAAGCTTTCTTTAGCTAAGCTTGAATTGTATTAAGTTTTTCCTCTGTGTTGTGTGGTAGTGATTTTTAAGTGTGTTGAGTGGTTATGCTAAGTGTGTGGTGAGTGGTTGTGAATTATAAGTGTACTAAAATGATTGTTAATATAAGTGTCTTTTGGATGGTTGTAGATTGTTATAAGTAAGTTGTTATATATACTTGTAAATATCCAGCGACGCACACTTAACCACACGTGCGTAAGTAAGGAATCACCACACTTTATTACTTAACAGAAAAGTAACATATCTACAGCGTTTGTTAATAAAATTTACTTAACATAGAGTCGAGATACTTTACAGCGGTCTTTTAAGTTACTTACAAATTGAAGAAAATTTGATTTATTTTTTTACTTAATCGGAGTCATGCAATCTACTTAAACCATGTTACTTATAAAACAAAGGTGGGGAATTTTGTACTTAATCGAGGAATCCCTAACCATCTACTTACTTAAATAAAGTTTCGGACTTTTATAAGTTACTTACAGGTAGAGATAAGTAGAATGTTTATTACTTAGCTATTGAGTATACAGAATCACTCTAGAGTCACTATATAAACGACCGCCGTAAGTGAGTCTGTTACTTAAAATTACTTATTACTTAATATCGAAATCCCAACCAGGTGTATTTTTCACATATGCTTAATCATCATCTACAGGTGTATCCCTTATTAACAAGTATTACAAAAATTATGAAATATATGCGTCAGAGGTTACAGAATTATGTATTTCAGAAAAGTACGTAGACGATAATTATGTATTTCAGAAAAGTACGTAGACGATAATTATGTATTTCAGAAAAGTACGTAGACGATACATAATACACTCTTTGAAACTATACACATTACATAGAAAGTACAAAGATTATGTATTTAGAATTATATTAACCCTTTGTGTACGGCGACTGGTCAGGTTAAGTTAATGGCGTCCTCATAGTGAAGGGGGTGGGTACAAAATATTCCCTAGGAGGATACATAGACGATACAGGAATACAGTTTCTAGAAGGATATATAGACGATACAGGAATACGTGTATGAAGCTCCGTGTACCCGAGGTTAGGGAGTTCGTTGTCATAGTGAAGATAAAGTAAAAGAAAGATATGTGTTTTTTCTCACTAATTTAGATATTTTCTCGTATGTGTGTGTGTGTGTGTGTGTGTGTGTGTGTCTATAGGTAGGTAGGTGGGATTTTCCTTACCCCCAAAATATTAAATAATTAAATTTATGTTTTTGTCACTTTAAAAATAATATTGTTGACTGATATATCATTTTCATTTGCCTCTATACAATATCTATAGTTATAAACTTTAAAATTTTTTACCCGTATTTAAAAATTTTATTATCTATTACATTAAATTTTAATCTTCGCCACTAAAATAAATATTGCAGTTAGTTTAAAAAAATTATTCTTATCGTCATTAAAAAAAATCGTATTTGCCATATTAAAAATTCTCATTTACCGACGTATGAAATTTTATCGTTACACGGTTAGGTTAGATTAGGTTAGGTTAGGCATGGCATTTACAGAAACTTATCAATATGTAACGCAAAGAGAGAGAGAGAGAGAGAGAGAGAGAGACGACTTAGAATATATTTATAATCCATCACATTTGTGTTGTGGACAATACGGCCGGGGAATTATTTCAACACCAATTAGTTCCTGTTTATATATGTATGACTGGTGGCAACGGGACCGCATTAAACACCGCTTAGTCCAGGAAGCTTATCTCTGGACGCTGTTATCTCTACGGGGAAGTGAGAGAGAAGTCCTGGACGCTGTTATCTCTACGGGGAAGTGAGAGAGAAGTCCTGGACGCTGTTATCTCTACGGGGAAGTGAGAGAGAAGTCCTGGACGCTGTTATCTCTACGGGGAAGTGAGAGAGAAGTCCTGGACGCTGTTATCTCTACGGGGAAGTGAGAGAGAAGTCCTGGACGCTGTTAAGTCTACGGGGAAGTGAGAGAAGTCCTGGACGCTGTTATCTCTACGAAGTGAGAGAGAAGTCCTGGACGCTGTTATCTACGGGAAGTGAGAGAGAAGTCCTGGACGCTGTTAACTCTACGGGGAAGTGAGAGAAGTCCTGGACGCTGTTAACTCTACCCTGTTGAGAGAAGTCCTGGACGCTGTTATCTCTACGGGGAAGTGAGAGAGAAGTCCTGGACGCTGTTATCTCTACGGGGAAGTGAGAGAAGACGCTGCGTCCTGGACGCTGTTAACTCTACGGGGAAGTGAGAGAGAAGTCCTGGACGCTGTTATCTCTACGGGGAAGTGAGAAAAGTCCGCTGTTAACTCTACGGGAAGTGAGAGAGAAGTCCTGGACGCTGTTATCTCGAAGTGAGTGAGAGAAGTCCTGGACGCTGTTATCTCTATGGGGAAGTGAGAGAGAAGTCCTGGACGCTGTTATCTCTATGGGGAAGTGAGAGAGAAGTCCTGGACGCTGTTATCTCTATGGGGAAGTGAGAGAGAAGTCCTGGACGCTGTTAATTCTACGGGGAGGTGAGAGAGAAGTCCTGGACGCTGTTATCTCTACGGGGAGGTGAGAGAGAAGTCCTGGA